CACATAGAATCGAACACTTATGGCTAACCCTGTACGCGTACACGATCGCATCATTTGTGCGCTCCCAGTTTAAGTGGATTTACTCCGCCATAGCAAGTCATACAGCGACGAGTTTACGCTCGTTCGACTCAGCTCTGTGAGATCTATCTAACGATATCTCTCTCTCTGATATAAACCATACCATTCACACCACGGTGCTTTTCCGTGGTTTGTAGCATTATTTTACTTATACTCACGCGTTCAAAGTTGTTCGTTTTCCTTCGAAGTCTCATTATTGTGCTACTATTGTGAAGGAAATATTACGCTCCATCCAACAAATCCAAATTGAGCTATCTACGCCCAATTCTAAGTGTGCTGGATGTATATTTGTGCAGTTCAGTTTTTGTGCCATTTGCACTATCACTCACACGTGTGTCCATCACACCACGACCAGTTCAGTCAATCGATATTCGCAAGCTGACCTGTGCCTTTGTCAGTGAGAATTATCACCACATACGTGTGATCGAAGCGAAGATAGAGACCCTCGGTTCCGAGATCACTCTCGTTGAAAATGTTCTTCTTTCCAGTGATCTCATTGCAGATGGATCCAGCATCACCATAATTTTACTGGACAGACATTGGACCGGGCGTGTACATCGACGGAACAATCCCAACAGTGAACGTGATACTGATAACTCGTGAGCGATCCTCATAAATGGAGTGCTAGAGTTCCCCGAAGCCGACGAATCCAACCGTCGAAATAATGATTTTTACGAATGGCGCTTTATTCGAGAATTGTTAGACTGTCGCAGCGTCTCTACCTCGGTCATTAAACGCCTTCCGCGTTCTTCCAACTGTCGTGGAGATGGCCCGCAAATAATGAAAGTAACTCTTGGGACGCCGGAAACGGTAAACATAGTTCTCCAGTCGTGGTATGAACACCGAACCAAGTGGCCCAAAGAGCTACGCTTGAGACCGATGATGAAGTCAGGACCAAGAAATTGTCCACCCGTCGAAACAGTCAATCACATTGCGCGTGAAACACTGCAAACGTCATGCTTCACTCCTACCTCATCAGACCAGACCCAACACAAACCTATGGCAAATAACGTCTGCCGGCCGACAACGAGGTCGGCCAAATTACGTTCCTAAACTCCAATGGATTTCTGCACCAACAACGACTGAAATGTTTCTATACCAATGCCCAGGGTTTTTTTTCAGTAAGCTTCCGGAAATGGAACCACGTTGTCAGACCGGTCGATGGGACCTCATTGCCGTAACCGAGACCTGGTTGACGACCGACATCTTACACTCCGAGTTGTGATTACCGGACATGGAACTATTGAGGTGTGACCGTCCAACGCGAGGTAGGGTGTGTTGCTGCTCTATCATCATAAGAGCTTGCAATGCGAGCAGCTAGAGTGCCCTTTTGCTGCCTCAGACAAGTTATGGTGTAAATTGAAGCTAACGCAACAGAATATTGGGCTGATCGGTGTGGTTTATCGCTCTCCTTCGTCATCAGATTCATGAAATGATACTTTGTTGGAAACAATGTCTTACGTCTTGTCATTGAAATTCACCCACGTTCTGATAATGGGTGACTTCAACTGTCCAAAGCTGAGCAACGCGACTACATCGTGTACGCCATTTGAACGTCATCTGAAGCAGTTCATCCAGTCACATTCCTTGTACAATCATGGGATGGAACCCACCAGGTTTGGAACCAACCAAATTTCGTTAACTTTGGATCTAGTACTGACAAATGAAGAATTGATGGTCGAATCCTTGCAATCGCAACTCCGTTGGGGCGCAGTGATCACGCTGTATTCTTGTTCGAATATGGTTGCTATGCCTCAGTAATGACAGGTTCTTTGGATCGCTTTCGCATCATAACCGACTTTGTGGGACAAAACACCCTGTGGATCTCCCCTGATGTAGACTGCAATCCTCTGGACTCCTGGAGAAAATTTACTAACAGCATCACGACATTGGTGCCTGCTGTTACAACCGTCAAGCGTCTATGCCAACCGACTGTTCGAGAATCAGCAATTCGCAGTCGAACTAGGAAATGGATAATGCAAAGGGACTTTCACTGGAGGGAGTTCAAACACTGTCCATACCCGAGCACTTGGGAAGCTTAAAGACTCTATCAGAACTGTAATGGTACGGGAAGACGAGCACAATTATCTTGATATACTGGCGAGAAAGTTTATCGCAAACCCCAAGCTATTGTATAAGCATGTAAACGCTTCCCGGAAAATCAAACCCGTCGTTCCGATACTAAAATCAGCAGGACGTGTTTCAGCGACGACTAAGGAGGCTGCAAAAATGCTGAGGCTACAACAATCTCAAGTGGTCAATGCCCCTATTAACGATGGGTTTGTGCTTCCTTGTTTGCTGGAACATATTTATTACACATTACTGACAGACATTATCTATTCCCCCGAAAAGGTAAAGGCTAAGCTCATGGCGTTAAAGAAGAACTTATCACCGGGTTAAGATAACGTCCATTCACAAGCCCTTATCACTCCGGTAAGTCACATAGCCGATCCTCTAAGTGGGCTATACCAAAAACAGTTTGAAGATACCGTGCTTCCTCAGGTGTGGAAAACGGTGTCATTTCACCAATTTACTAAGGTAGCTGCCGTAGTGACCTGGCCAACTACCGACCGTCACGCTCCTCCCAGTGTTGTCCAAAGTCATGGAATCTATGGTAGCAGATTCCGTAATGGATCATTTGGAGAAAAATGGCCCACTATCCCCAGTTCATCACGGGTTTCGAAAAAATCGTTCATGTGCAACTAAGTTGATTTTGGCTCTGGACGATTGGACTCATGCTGTAGATCAAGGCAAAGGAGTAGATATCATTTACCTGGACTTTCCTAAAGCCTTTGACAGAGTGAATCATCAAATACTGATACGGAAGCGGTATATCTACGGAATCCGTGAATCGTACTTGGCTGGATCGAGGAGTTTCTTCGCCTACGCACCATGTCAGTTCGTGTTTCCGTTTCACTTTCTGATTCAATAGATGTCAACCGTGGGGTTCCACAGGGATCAGTGCTAGGCCCACGTCTTTTCTTTGTCTTTATAAATGATCTTCCAAAGGTCTTCGGATCACAAACTCTGCTGTTTGCAGACGATCCCAATACATGGAGGACAATAAAAAAAATCTGAAAATTCATTTGATACCCAGAACACACCTGACGAAGTCCACACATGGTCTGTCTTCAATGATATTGAAATCAACGTTATCAAATATAAAGTCGTATCACTAAGTCACAACGGTCGTTTTCTCCACACACTCGGAAACAGAACTCTGCCTCATGCTCCATCCAAGAAGGATCCAGGAGTAGTCATTCGCGCAGACTTGAATTGTTCCACAAACTGTTCTAGGTTGTCATCCATAGAGGTAAGACAGGTTGGACTACTCAAACGTGTTTTTGGATCGTTTGAACCGGCTTCGTTTCCACATCTGCTAGCCACGTATATTTGTCCATATACTGAGTAGTCAATTCAAGCATGGAACCCATGGCTACAGCGAGATATGAAGGCACTCGAACACCCACAGAGAATAGCTACCAAAATGGTTAAAGATTTCCATTCCAAGACCTATGGAGAAAGATTACAGCTCCTGGGGCTATTCGCATCCCAATATCGTTAAACCAGAAGCAATATGATTTTACTCCATCGGATTTTCCAACAACCCAACCATCCGTGTAGATCTCTGTTGGTTTTATCGCACAACGTTCATCTCAAAGGGCATGCGCCACAGTTGGTACACCAAAAGAGCCGTCTCGACTGCAGATGTCACTCGTTTGCCGTCAGAGTGTGCAGCACATGGAACTCTCTACCAGCTCACGTGGTCTGTGCCCCAACATTAGTATCTTTCAAAGGTCAGCTTGATGATGCTCTGGCAAACATTACGTTTCAACACCCAACTACATAACATATTCTGCTGTGCTCGTCAAAACATTACCTTACTACTTTACTGCCATGGACTAACTGTGATATTGTGAATCGTGATCCGAACCAAAGTGTAAACACCCCATGGGATTTGAAAAAGCGAAGTCTTTGTAAGATATATCTAATAATAAAAATTTGAAATTTGAAACTTGAATTTGAAATTTGATTTCGGAACGGCCGATCCCCTCACAACGCTGACGAAGGCATGCATCTGTTTCCCTGAAGTTAATAAATATGCTCGTGATCCCAGGAGCAATTTGAATCTCACAACCTAGATCTTCGCACCCACGTGCCTGATCAGATCGGCACTAATTATAACCTCACTTACACCTACAATCAGAAACATCTCATGAGTAACGGTCACTCCACCAATCTTCATACTGACACATTCTTTACCCAAGACTCTGAGTGGCATACCCTCAAATGCACGTACGCTCACATTGCACGGTTTCACCGGAACCCCTTCCACCCGAGGCATGATGGATCTCCCGACACCCGTATCAATAACAGCCAACTTTGACTGTCCCAAAATTAAAACCTCAAGCCTTGAAACCTCCCGGGCAGTCGGATTAGAAGGAGAAAAACACGAACGAATAGGGTTGTTTGAACAAAAACGGTCAACATGTCCTACATCCTGGCAACCAAAACACCGCTTTGGTCGAACTTGAGTCGTGAAGCCTCTCTTTTCTTGTGATGCGCCCTTGAGTTCCTCCTTCAGTCTCCTAATTACTTCAAATGTTTTTTTCGATATTATCTTCATTTTCGGCAGGATCCATCCGAGCAACCATGTGATCTTGTTCATAGGCTTGCGCAATCAAGATTAGGCGGTCTGCGTCATTCAACCCGCAGGCTGCCGCCACCCTCAGTTGGTTTCTCATCTGCACCGGCATTCTTTGTATGAACCGGTCTTTGACCAGCCTCTCCCGTGTTTCGTTGTTTACCTCCGGCAGGACCAGAGAAATTTATCGCTTTATATGTTGATAGTGCACCAACCTATCCTCAGTCCGGTTGTACTCCGCAGCGTAAAGCCGGTGCATTGCGTTCTCGCGGTCAGCCTACTTTGAAAACTTAGCCACCAAGGCGAATAGCAAATTCTCATAATCAAGGGCTTGGTTGCTTTCCAAATTCAAATCGTAAGCGGTCCTTACTAGTCCGGTGAGCAGTGAGCCGAACGCGGCGATCAGATACGCACTCCCTTTGATGCCGTTACATGATACAATTAATTCCAAATCGCGAATCCACTTCTCCACATCTCCGTGTGCAAACGCGTTTGGCCACGTCACATTCATTGCGTTGTGCTCACTTGGGCGACGGCACCACTGTGGCGAGAACGCGAGCTGGATGGGAAACGATTCGTGCGTCTTTCTGTTGGTCCATCTCTACCGCTTTGGTCAGCACATGGCACGTACGTTGCTTCTGCTTCCGCGTGCAGTTCCGGTTGGTTTAACCCGACCAAAGCGCGAGATGCGTAGGTCGACTGCTCCGACGAAGTGGCCTCGGTGGATATCTTTCTGGCTAGCTCCGGATTGTCTGTTGAGCTGTATATGTCAATTCGTTTGTTTCGAGCGGTAGTCAACATCATATCTCGAAGAACTCCCAGCCGCTACCTTTGCGCATCTGATTGTACGGGTCCGACTGTTGTTGTTTTCGCTAGCTGGAGCCCTCTCTCTTCCAGCTCCGATCACAAAATGGCTCGGAGAAATCCAAATAAATCATATCTTTTGGGTAGCCCGCATCGACGGATTTAGTCTACTCATCCCATGCAAGGAGTAGGTTTGTAGTGCACGAACGCTTGCTCTGAATCCGTAATGCTTCGTGTGTCATAGCAGTAAACATCTAAGCGACAGGTTTCCTGGAGAATTCCGCTACTGGTAGAGTAATAGTTGAATCCTGTCCAGACAATCTCAATGCTGGGGTTCCGAATTTCATCTTCCTTATACAGTTGATAGGGTTTTAAATATATTCTGTATCGGAATTGAATTTTCGAGCCAGGGTTTTTTTCGTGCATCGATTTGTCCCCCGTATCAACTTGGTACACTGATTTCGCAGTAAGGAATAATTATTACAAGTTTCGATAGATGGACATCTTCTGTACTCCAGTGGGGAGAAGCTCGTTTGCTCTATCTATTTCTTTGTTCGGCTGCGAATGAATGAATGGATGAGGAGTTTAAGATTTAGCACAAGGTTTTATACTGGTTGCAGACGTCACAATTTCGGTAAGATAATCAATGAAGCTCTTCCATGCCACCAAGTGATCGTGATTGTCTTCTGGGAGGACCCATTGCTCAATTATTGTCGACTTTTGCAGCCTCCCGTAATCTATCATGTCACGAGTACTGCTCTTCCGGTTTTCTTGGGTAGATGCGTAGCCTATACAATCAAACATCAATATGGCATGATCACTATATCCTAGGGGAGACGTGACATTGACAGATTCCACCATCACCTATTCGTTAGACAGCACTACATTCAGTGTTGATGATTCGTGAACCTGGTCCAAATATGGTGCGTACTGTTACGTGGTTATACAGTGGGTGCAATCCAACGAACTGGGATAATTGTCTCTCGAATGGCTGGCGGGAAGTCCTCGTTCATATGAATTGGGCCAGTTAAAATCACTCATTATCAGGGCATGGGTTAACTTTGGTGATAACGCATTCCCCATGGTTTGCAACAAAATCTCGTTGGTTGAGTCTGAAGACGCGGATGTTGTACACAACAACGACTAGACATCTATCATTTTTCGAGAGTCTCATTGAACACCATAACGAATCGGGGTCGGCATCGGGAATATCAGGCTGTTCGCACTGTAGGTTGTCTCCATGATGAAGTAGCACTCCATCGCCTCGTGTAGGACGATCACGTCTGAGCATTAACATTCCTGATAGAAGCAATTCCGAGTCAAGAATGTCGGCGGTCAGCCAGGTTTCATTGACGGTAACAATGTGAAATGGATTAGTTTTCCAAAGACGTTCCATCTCGGAGAATCCACTAGGGCAATCTAGTGCATTGGTAAAAATATATATAAAAGATAAATTTTGGCAAAATAATCGATCTGGGTTGGGGTATTTTTTCTGCCGACCAAATTGGGGTCGGCTAGCGATGGAATTTTGCAGAATTGGCTTCGTCAGTGCTGCTTGGTGAACGTGGACTGATAAAAACCACGCTAATGAAGGAAGGTGGCGTGCTAGTATCGGTTGCTGTTTTCGAAATTTGCTGTGATCCAGTATGTAATAGTTTTAGGCGAAATTCCGGCGTCCCCTTCTCCTACTACGCTTCCACGACTACAATAGGAAGTTGGCTAATTTTGACGATCCAGAAGCCACTTTCATTATGCTCTGGGCGTTCCGGTGGTAGTTCGATGAGCTAGGTAGATGACTAATTGCCTTAGTAAGAACCTGGGTACAAGTAAGTCGTTCTCGAATGAAACTCAATTTCTTGTTTTGTTGACATGGAATTCATCTGGATCGTCTAGTTGGGAGATTCCATGAATTAGAACAACCTGTTTCTTCGCCGATTGGTGTGCGTTTGTTAGGTTAGTACAGCAATGTGTCCGGGACCTATCCAGAAGCATTATTGTTCTACACGAATGTTTCTTAAAAAGTTAACTAGAGAGAATAGTTTTTCCGGATCTTTCTCGTCTGCAAATGTTACGCGAGTCAATCTTGGTTCCCCAGCATGCGGTGACGATGAATGGCGAAACAGCGACACAATTTCAACTGGGTGAACTTCGATACCCATTTGGTTAAATAAATCATCCCAGGGGTAATGAAGCATTCCGAGAATCCACTGTACGATAGAGTTTCAATCATGTTCAGTTGCTCTTCGCTGCAGCTGCTCGGGTTACGATCAGACCCGTTGGCTCCGCTCCTAGGCCCGCACCTCCTCTGCCCCTGTGTTCAACAGCAGTTGCCCGCATTTGTAACCAATGAAATGAAACTCTCATTTTTCAGACCAGTTGCACATTCCAGTTAAGACCATCTGTGTCAAACGTGGCGTTTGATCACCTGATATTTCGAGGCCATCGGAAAGAGGAAAGATCGCACAGATATCACTGACGTTCGCCACAATTACTTACTATAGGACCTTGGACTGAACCCTGAGAAATCTCACTGCAGGTTGCAGCAATTTCGACATATCCTATTCCACTGTGACGTGTAGCGTCCCTTATTGAATTTACTTTTTGATCCATCTCAAAACCTGTCTGTTGATCCCGAGGTTTCCAGTTTGTGGAACGGTAGACTGGTTGATCGGATTGTGGGGTTTCCTGTCCTACAGCAGCATTTATTCGGTTAGGATTGGCTGAACACCTGTAACAACAAACCTAAAATCATTCGAGCATGACGACTGAATTCAAGAGATCTAGCTCCGCAGTCTATTGCTGGTTTAGGTGTCTCAGCTCTACTTCTACGATGCTTTGTCATATGCCGTAGGGTAACGCATACCCTTCATTTCTCAGTTGGAGGCACTAACTACCTTGGACCAAATCCGTTTCAACGCATTATTGAACGCATGTTTCCCTTATGTAAATGCGATTATACACTTTTAAAGAAAAATGGAACAGAACACAAGATTGGTTACATTGTGGTTCTGCTCTTATCGTTGCACCACCTTCTGGTTGCAGGAATAGACATTATAGCAGGTTTATATCTGTACAGAATAACTTAGGTTCCGCTAAGCAGCAGAAAATCTTTTTTGATAAACCCTGCTCGAGAAACCCTGTTTCCACCAGTATAAATATTTCAGATTTATCCGGGTATTAGAGCACTTGTGATCGTACTTATACCGTTCCGCATTTATCCTCAGCAGCTGATTTACAGTGCTCACCAAGTGAATATAAAGATGAAATCTTGCAGAAGACGTTTAGTCATCTGTGTCTAGAACACGGAGGGGAGCATTTTCTCAAATTTTGCGGATTTTGCGTCTAAAATCGAGTTATTCTTTCTCGTTGCATAGTTCTTCAATGACACTACATAATCGAGTATGAAAAGATTTGAAGTGGCTTAAACCCAAGAATGTTCTGTGATATCTGATGGTACTGAAATTGTACATTCGGCATGCAGGCACAACACTGTGTGGACCTATTTTAAAAGTAACTTATTCACGGAGGCATCATAAATAGTCTGTTCGTGAGAGAATGTGAAGAGAAAACTGAATTATGTCGAGGTGCACACGAAGCAGATTTAATGAAAAAGTGATCGATGGGCAGATACACAATACTGAGAAGAGATGTTTTAAAGGTAATTCGAGGTGTAATAAGTTCGAGAAGTATGAAACTATGAGAGAAAGAGTTGGACAGGTCACTTTATTTGAAGATTTCATAGAGCATCGAGTAGAATTACAACTATTTTTCTAATTGAAGGGCGACTAATGATCCAACGAGGCCAGCTGGCAACTGCTAATGATTGTAAAAGTTGTACAAATTGTAAGCATATTGGTGTCAGGTAACTTCAAGCGAGCGATTATGTTGGCTTCTTCTACCCACTGAACTAATTCTTACCTGATGTGTTCCTCTTATCGGCAGGAATTCTGCGTTTCAATAACCCCCTTTCGAAGGAAATCCGAAAGTCTGAATGTCACAATCACTACAATCACTTTGCCATCTCACTGTAGAAACCTACATGTTTTGAACAAACAAACTACGCTAATGCATTCAAGATCCAAACATTTTCTACAGTCACCGGCCTTCCCGTTCAACGACCATTGTGATATGTGGCGAATGCAGTTCGTATTTGTGACACAGACTTATCGTCACTCTTAGACCATTACATCTTGCATCCTCAGTAAACCAATTGTTCTCCACACAATTAGTGAACTTCAATCTTCACGTTCGGACCTGTTTACCCGCAAGGGTCAATACCAGTTTCCTTATTCCTATATACCATATCACGCCACCGTCTTCCTCACTAAGAGCACAACGCATCTCACTTATTACAAAATAACCCATGTCCCACGAACTGTCAGGATTCAAGCATTATTCCCATCTGATTTATTTCCCCGTCGTTGTTAATTGTTAAACGAATTCACAAAATGTTCCTCAATCGACGGAAACTTACATTCTTTAATAGTTTACGGTTAACGATAACAATGTTTGCATAAAGAAATTTTCAGGCGGTATGCATGATCATTTATATTTGTTTATGTTTAAAAGTGAAATAAATACATACAACACGCATAACAATAAATGATAGAAAACATGTTCCGGGTTCAGTTGGATGCAATCAGTAAGTAAACGCACAGCACAAGTGAGAGAAAAAAGTGATACCGGAGGGATCAGACATCGACAAATTGTTTTGGGTTTTCGACGGGAGCAGTAAACCTGAGCGCTATCCAGAAGTCGCAGTCATCAAATAAATGTTCAAGGCACAGCTCTTTCGGTCAAGTAGTTCAACGGTCACGGAGCATTTTCCCATGCATTGATTAATTGGTCCTCCCAATATATACCATCAAAACAGACTGTAAACGAGATGTAAATTTTCAAACGATAAAGGAGTGGAACACAGAATATGAACAGACTAAGAGAAACCGTAGGCATCATTTAATGTTATCTTTTCTTTGTGCCTAAGGAAACAGAAGACACTACATAGAAAAATGTGTGTTAGGCCACTTTAACTGCAAGGTACAAAATAAAAAGTTAACAGTTTTCTCTATGCAAAATATATTTTCCTTTATCGCTTGCTCTGAAAAAAGACATGCTGATTACCACATGTGAAGAAACTCACTGTTCCATGGACCAGCCCGGTATTTCGTGCAGTTGTATCCTTTGAGCTTCCAATTAAATTGATCCGTTTCCTCCCATGGAAGATACGTCGCTGTGGTGTGTGCTTTGCTCAGCCCATCGACGTAATAGCCCCGTAAATTTATACCAATCCAGGGATATTGCAGATCGGCTGATTTCACAAGGCAGGCTCTTCCGTTGCCCAGCCCAAAAAACATTCCATCTTCCGATTGGTAGATGAGTATTTGGGAGACGAAACGGCCAATATCTGAAACAAATTATGCACTGTGTCAGTCAGCTTAATCAACAAACGGGCATTGCACTAGTTATGATGCAATATACAACGAAATGGTTAAATCACGTACCCATCCACCACCAGGAGACTCCATCGACCGCCAACATGCATCTCATGGCTTTCTTATCCATTTGATCACTGTAGGCAAATATATAGCATGCAATCAATGCTTTTCCCACGTACAGATATGATCGGTTGAAGAGAAGCATGTCATTTGGGNTTGGGGATTTAGGGTATATGCCGGCTGACATGGGTCTGGTCGAAGGGAAAAACCGGTAGTTGTTTTTGAGAGCCCCAAAAGTTGAAAACCAAAAACTGTTGAACAATCTTTCAAGATTTCATTGATTAGGTTTTATTATGATGAAATTTGCGTTGGGAAGAATGACAACTCTAAAGATATCAAGGATAATGTACAACAAAGTCAAGGAGAATTGATATATTTCCTTGATGGGAGAAACACAGATAGATCAACCACCAAACCTATTTGAGGCCAGATTGATTAAATCAAACCGACTCTTACTTGATTAAACCCAAACACCTCTATACCAGTATATTTTTGCGAATGCTATTTGGGATATCCCTGAAGCACTGCCATGTGAGCGAATTACCTGCCATTGAACAGGTGGGGTCAACCGCCGTGGCGTGGTTATGTCTGGTTATGTCCGGAACACTGGTTTACCAGTTGATAACATTAGGCAAGCAGTATCCGGAATATATATTCACTTTAAAAAAATTGGCGATTCTGGATAGAAAGCAGTTATTTTCCACGTCGTAGCGCACAGGAGTAGGCATGGTCAATGTGACACAGTTAATTGATTTCGTCCCCACTAATGTACCGCACTGAAGGCTTTCATTCCCTGGTGACCTTTGTGAACATGTCAGTTTAGTCTTCATTCATTTATTCATCAAAACTACTTATTGTCACTTAAAAAAGATGACATACATTTGTAGTTATATTTTTATTAGATAAGTGATAGATTGGTTAGACAGATTCATATGGAAACTACGATGAACAACTCCCTTAATTAGAACTTAGTTTGTCTTTCTCATGCCAATAAAACCAAAATGTATATGACCAGTAATAAATATGAAATAACAAGGGGAACAGGGAGAGTAATTAATATGTTCACCAGTTCGTATCATAACTGGTTCGTAATTATTATTTGCCTAAATTTATATTGACGGGTCTTGTGTCAGCAATCCGGCCATGGAGCCTCGGGTGCTTGCACATATTTTTTGAGTATCTACGTTAATGGTATAAGCCTATCACTACTGAGATGTAATTTAGCATAAGCTAGTAAATAGTAAAAGGTTACTCAAACAGTGAACCGAGAAAATAATCATTGCAAATCTGTAGACGCACCAAATTGGTAAATATCCCTCCCAGACGAGATCCCAAAGACCTGCACTGTTGTTCGCGCGTCAGCTCCTAGCGGTCGTTTTCCCTTGGGTATAATGCGCAGGCCTCGGGTTAGAAATGGTCCAGGAAACACATATGTGTATAAGTCTTGATGATGACGAAGGAAAGTTGCCTGGGATAGTAGTGGGACAGTAGTACGTGGTAGTATCCTATTTAAAAAAGTCCGCATGCTTTATGTGATACATGTTTACAATAAGCGGCCAGAACGACAGTTACACATATGCATCAAGTGAACATTTCTACCAAAGTCGTGTAGCAGTCAGATTAGATTACATAGTACAAAATCTGNCAAAATCTGCGCAATTACTTTCGAGATTCCGGGTGGTGACAAGTGGAGAAACTGTGAGACCTACGTTCTTCACAGATCGCAGTGTTTCAGAAGAAACTTGGAATGTGGGATAAGTTACTGAACACTGAAGTTTATGAAATACTGAATACCAAGCCCCAAAACATTGCATGGTTTCATGTAAAGTTGCCAAATTCCAAACTTACTCATTCTAAAGCTCTTGCATTGATATGCAATCACAGGGTGACAACGAACGTCATGATTCATAAAATAAACCGGGGTGGAAGAAGGGGGTTATAGGGTTGTGTTAACGTGATTGACCTGATTATGCAACAAGGCCAATAGGAGATCGTTCGAGCTTCTGAGCAACTATCAATTACGCCAAATCGACTAACTTCATTTCACTACGGAAACTATGAATAAACTAATAAAGAAGATGAAATTTCGAAAATAGATTCTGTTTTGACAGTGATAACAAGCTACTCAAGATTATTACATTCTCCACATGGGTAAATGCTCGACCATCAAGCGTCATTTCAACGCGAGCAGCGGAAATGCCATATTTCGTGCCCGTAAAATTGAAACGAACGTAATGAACCGTGTGAAGTGATCCAAGCAAAATTGTCACATATTGCTCACTGTACGGTGGCGTGGATACCCCCGCATTGACAGGACACACCTCCGGCGGAGTGTCCAATGACGGACAGAGTGCACTTGTGATTCGCACTCTGCAGTCATCTGAATTACCGGAATACAAGGGAAGCAGCTTTGCGTGGGAATCTGTTGAGAAATTCGAACAGAAATTGAAGTAATTATCTTCGCCGTTCGCTGACTGAAAAAACACCCTTCTGTTTCCTCATAATTGCAAACTGAGTTAGAGAAGCTATGACTCGAAAGTTGAGTCTTATATCATGGTTTTAAAAATATGACAATAACTTGTGACACGGTAATCTAGATAACTCATAGGCTTTTCAAATACTCCTTTCTTTCCGTGATCGAATATCGTATATCTTGTAAACAGACCACTATCTGTATCGCAAGAGCATCATTATCATCAGGTAGACAATTCACGATCTGCCGATTAGTTTTGAACGTGGTCATTTATTACAGTGGAGAAACGTGGATTTCAAAGACTCACTTCTGCTTCTGTGCAAAACGAGGTGAGTAGTAGCGAAGGACACGGCATTCTCCAATTTTGGGGTGTGATCATAAACAAAGCACACGACCTCGATTGTCTGAGACATGATATTCACGTCTCTGTTGTTTGTGAAATGGAACGACTCCGCGAATTCCGCACTGACGAGGAGTGTCCATTTCACCCCAAATCGCATGGGGCCCATCTGGCAGAGTAGAAAATGATGCAAGATAATTTCTTCATGGTCTCAGACTGGCGTCTTGCAGGCACAGAGGCGACTAAATTGTGTGATGCTGTGGACTACAGTTAAAGGGTCACGGATTATTTTTTACCGGGCACTACTTGTTATCTCTTCATTCACACCAGGACAGGTGACTAAGAGAAAAACAAGCGTAACGACAAGGGGATTCTGCAAACAGAAATGGTATAAATGCTGAAAAAGATATTGATTCAGCAACGCTCCTGGTGGTGATACACTGAAATGATGCCGAATACGCATTGCAGTGAATCCCCATTCCAGATACATGTAGACTAGTTCAGTGTGCGACGTATGCAATCGTTCATTGAGTCAATAAACGAGAAGTGAACAGAGCTTCGCTAGGAAAACTGACTCAATTTTCTTCAGTACACTTGACGTAGGTGCTACGAGCTCCAAAGTTTAACAGGGGGAAATGAAGTTTAAACGCCACAGAGCGGTATATAT